TAGCTTTTAAAACTACACACTCTTTTGGCAGTTTATCCTTTTCATTGTTTACATCCTCGGATTCATCAATTAGCTCTAGGAGCAACTCAGATAACCTTTCCTTAGACAAAAATTTGATCTTGTCTTTGAGATGAGAAACACTTACCTCAGCTTCTTCATTAGATTCTCCAATAGTCATAAGTGCTCGTTCATCATCATCATTATCATCTGAGCTTTCATCCGAGGTATCTCGCCAAGCAGCGACCATATCCTTTGTTGATCCTTTGTTGTTGCTTTTCTTCGATTGAACTTGTTCCTTCTTCCTGTTCCTTCGTTCAGATCTTTCCTTCTTCCACTCAATTTTCCACATAGGACAGTTCTTGATGTGGTGATCAGTCTTTCCACACTTGTAGCAACCATCATTAGTTTGTTTCTCAAGAGCTTTTGATTTGCTGTAGCTACTACTTCTTGAAGAACCCTTTCCTATCCTTGGGTACTTCTTGAAATCTTTAGTGATCATGGCCATCTCATCATCTTCCAGATCAGAACCTTCGGTGATTCTGAGAGCCAAACTTCTTTCCTTCTTAGGTACATCCATCTTCATGGTCTGTCTCCTAAGTTCATAGGCAGTAAGATTTCCAATCAATTCATCCAGTGTGAGAGTAGCAATATTCTTTGGTTCCTGGATGGCAGTGATTTTGCTTTCCCAAGTGATAGGTAAGACTCTAGTCAATATTTTCAACCCTTTCTTCTTCAGGAATAATCCTTCAAAGAGATTTCAGTTCATTTGTTAGTGTAGTGAACCTTGTGTACATCTCTTGAATGATTTCTCCTTCCTTCATACCAAAGCTCTCATATTGAGAGTACAGTAGATTTCCTCTAGATCTCTTCACCTGAGGTGTTCCTTCATGAGCCACTTGCAGTGTGTCCCATATTTGCTTAGCAGTGGTACAGCCTTGGATTCTACTATACTCATCTGGACCAAGTCTACAAACAAGCCATTTCTTGGATTTAGCATTCTTCTCCCACTTCCTCAAGTCTTCAGTAGTGCAATCAACTCTTGTCTTTGGCACATCTACTCCTTCAACATTTTTCTTCAAGGTAGCCAGTGGACCATCGATGACAATGTCCCATAGCTCCTAGTCCTCTCCTATAATATGATCTCTCATCCTATTTTTCCACCAAGAGTAGTACTTGCCATTAAAAAACGGTGGCCTAGCAGTGGATTGCCCTTCCCAGTTTCCAGGTGGTGCACTCATGTTGATCTTTTCCTAAGGTGTTAGCCTCTTCAAAGATAACCCCTTTGATACAATTTGATGTTTTATACTTCAATGCCACACAAGAGGGGGTGATTTGTGTGGTGTCCAATTTTCACGTGCACAGATTATAGAAGCACCTGGTTCTTCTATGTGTTCCTTAACCTACTATTGCGAAAATAATAAATGCGAAAAGTAAAGAACACAAGTATTTTTACGTGAAAAATACCCGGCTCAAAAGGTGAAAAACCATGACCTACTACTCAGTAGGATTTTCCCCAACACTTTACTAAATCACTGAGCCAAAACAGCGTTTACAAAAAAATTTTGTAAACCTATAGATTACCTCTAATCCCGTTGTGGCAACCAGCCTCTAACTGTTACGACAACTTCAAGTTAACTCTAACTTGAATACTCAGAGTACCTAATGCAATTGCTTCTAGATAAAGCTGAAAGATACAATTTGAAAACACCTAGTACAACTGAACTAGAATGAAAGACAGACACTTGGAACTATTCTTCTATCTGGTTCATGTAGCTTCAGGTTCGCACACTTGAATCACTCAAGAATTGCTTGCAAAATGGCTTGCTATTTTGCTCTCAACTCACGTTTAACTTCAGCTTTTGTGCGTGCCTGTAAAGTGAGAACATCCTGTAATATATAGAGTTAGTAGAATAGGAAATAACTAGAGTTCCAATGCTATACTCTTCCTTGGTGGAAGAGTTCTAGTTAACCTCAACTTTTAACTCCTTCCTTATCTTGGATAGTGTTCTCTTGAGTAAGGAGTCCTTCTCCTTATCAATTATGTAACCTTTTCGATCAGGAGATATCAGATATAACAAGTTAAGCTTATCTCCCTCACGTGCATCCCTTATGCTTGAATCTGCTCGTGTTTGGGTGCACTGTAGATGGACCTGGTTCATGCTTGAGTTCCTTTGTCAATTTTCAAAACAAACTTCACTTGGGCCAACAATTGATATGATGCTGAAAATTTTGTTAAACTATCAATGTAACTTAGATTCATATTTAATTTACTCGATATCGGTACAGTTTAGTTAATTTTCGGTATTTTTTTAAATGTTATGTAAAAGTCACTAGTAGAAGTAGAATGCAATAACATACATACTTTTATAGGACTTAGCAAAAACTCTCTAGATAATTTTACTGTTTAAAGAGTGATGAATTAAGAAAACTTGAAAGATGACGAAGGTATAGATCCATCAATTATTCTACAGCAGCGTAAAAGAAACTAAGCAAAGACAAAAAAAAAATATAAATCACTAGTGGAAAGATATTAACCAAGTTGGGACTAAAGAATAAAGTCTATAGTAGATTAAATATTCAAAAAGATAAATCTAAATCATATGAAAAAAAGAACATATTCAATACACTATAGTTTACTACTCATAATCACTAGAATACTTTGTGCCTTGCTAGTAAATAGATGGAAATAATTTAGTTTCAGTAGGAGCAGCATAAGAGGTTTGGGAATTAGAATTTTGAGTTTAATTACATGTTGGCTTGTAACTGTTTTCATAATTCCAAGGTCAAGGAAAATTTTATTGTTTTATTATTTTTAAACTTAATATATAAATATATTTTTCACATTCAAATTTATTCGGTATGGTTCGGTATTTTTTCTGTTTATTTTCCTAATTATCGGTACGGTTATAGATTTATATAAAAACCTACGGTTTTATATCCTAAAAATCGATTCGGTACAGTTCGGTCGGTTTAATTAACTTTTTAATATCCATTGACACCCCTAATATGCGGGACTTATTTTCCCTTGGGTTCATGAAGTCCCCTGGCTATCCACTAGGCTGTGGGGCCTTGCTATGATATGTTGGCTTAACGCTTTTTTCAATCATTTTGAGTTACAAAATGGAAAGAAAATTGATAGATAAGTGAAACATAAACCTCGTAATGAGAAGAAGAACTCTGAGTTAAACACTCAATTGCTAGGGACCCAGGATGAGCATCAAGTTGTTTAACCTAAAAATAGTTTCAAGAATAAATAATTATATTATATTTAATGAGGCCACTAGCAATCGGTTCAAACCAAAGTCTAATCGAATGAGATATGGAATTAAGCTGACGAAGTCGTGAATGAAATAATGAAAATAGACAAATAAAAGATAAGAAAGAGCTTATTGGTCTTCGCCATGAGTCACAATGCATACAAAATAAAGAGAAATTGCCCATTAAATTTAGTAGATTGTGAGCGAATGTACAAGTAAATGGAATGGGAGTATTTATAGCCTATATCTAACATTCACATGGTTCTCTCCATATCTGCACCTCGCTCAGAGTGGTTAGTAATCATCGCTGAGATACTTGCCATTTATGGGTGGCAAATTTGGCATAATCGGTGCGAGGGAATCCCTAGCGTTTCGGGGACGGTTGAGGACCAAGTCAAGTTCCGGTCTACGACTTCACCGATAAATCCCCCTAACCATCTTAGGGGTGCTTCACTGAGATATGACACTCATTTCTTGGGGGAGGAGTCATTGAACTCTGTATATTTCCTTCGAGGATCAAATTCCGCTACTATCTTGTTCTCGGGATAAAACTTATTCTAAGTGAGTCCGAGGAGGACATGCGTAGCATATATCCTCACTTGTTCAGCACTCCAGGTATGATTTTAGACCCGTTCGAGGACGAACGTTTGTTTAAGAGGTGGAGAATGTAACGAGCCGACCGGTAATTTTGCTTTCTAGAACCTCGTTCCCCTAAATAAGACTCCCCGTATGTGCTTCTGCTGTTTTATGACTTGCGGGGATAGTTAGTTTGAGAATTTGGAAAGGTTCGGGTTGAAATTGGAGCATTTGGTTCCTTAAGTTGGCCTTAAAACGTCTCATCATGTGATCTATCCACATGTCATAGTCAAATTTTACCAATACACTAAGTAGATATAATTTTTTGAATTATATTAAGAAAAATCATATTAATCACAGCAGCAGAATTTAGTTGCCATAAACAATTTAATAGCATAGAGATATGAGGATTTCCCCCTTTCACTGAAACAGGGGCGGATCTACACATTAAATTAACCTTGACACAGAGTATGTATAGTTATATAGAAAATTTGAGAAAACGTATAGAAACTTACAAAAGCACCCATTGGATAAAAAGTCTGATGGGTGCTTTGGTCGTGGAAGAGCGCTGGAGGTTTAAGAAAGTTAAAGGGCGAGGGTTCGATTCTTTTACTCAACAAGGCTTTTTAAAACATGCCAAGTATTTCTGTTTTTTTTCCTTATATTATCAAGCTACTTTCTCCTTTTCTTTCTTTCCAGTTTTCACCAACCACTTTTTTTACCCAATACTATTTCTTTTTAAAAAAAAATTTCGGTGATTTTGTTTTATCTTTTCTTATTTTACAAAATCTAATTCACTACGAAGGAAGAAAAAGAAAAATTATTCCAAAGACTCGAAGGGAGAAACCCATAAATGTTTTTTCTGGTCAGTTGCGTTATCCATCATGGTTTTACGACGTCCTTAATTAATATTAATACTATGTGTTCTCTTGTTATCATGTTCAAATAGTTATATTTTTATACAATGTGATTGATAATAATTTTATGCCAAAAAAAGTTCAGCACCCACGAACTTAAATTCCTGGATCCGCCACTGCACTGAAATTGTATTTCTTGCAATAAGTCTTGCTGTAGCCTCTAGTCTCCATTGGCAAATTGTTCGTTCTCTTTTCTGTTTGATCAATAAAAATCAACCATCTCTTGGTGGTTTTTATAAAAAAGGAGAAGAAAGATTAATAACTGCATTTGTTCTACAGATAGCACCAAATAAACATGCTAAGAAATTGTTGCAATAATCTCAACTTTTCACAGGACGTCCTCTGTTAATGACCAGTTCTTCTCTTATCAGTTGTATGTGACAACTTAAGTGTTTGAACAATTTAATGAGAGAAAAATACTGAATGTTCAATTAAGAAACAAGGTTATATAATATTTGGTTCCAAGTATCAGGAACTCCAGCTAGACACCAATGGCTGCAATCCATTCCTGTTCTTCCACCCAGCCCATAAATTGAAGGATGCCCATCCTTACGCAATAGGCAAAGGTTTGTGACATCAAGCAATGTCACTGGCTTCTCAATTGTGCTCAATACATTCTTCAGCACTGTCAATGCTGGTGGCAGGCCTCCTGGATATGTCGATCCACTTACTGGTTGCCTCTGCCCTAAGCACGTTTTCACGCCTGGTTGATTCCAATCAGTACCACTGTTGTTTAAAGTAAGAAAAAAATTGGTGAGAATGATCAAGTAGCAGTTTCATTTCTTGCATGACTAATGAATTAGATTGCTTTTTGTCTTTGACATGAACATAGTATGGTAATAGATCTTAGGGTTATTTTCTCGGATGCTTATTCAACTTTCAATTCATTATACCAAAGTCACAAAACTAACAGAAAATAAAAAAAAAAAATGCAAAAACGGCTAAATTAGGCCCCCACCAAACTAGTAGACTTACTTCAATACCTTATAATATCCAAGTGGCACCATGTAAAATAATAAAATACGTTTTCTGACTCACTTAAAAAAAATTGAAGAGAAACAATTTCTATCAGATGGAGAAAGAAATCAGGTATTATGTTGGAAAATGATTTTTTTATTTTTTCAAAAGTATCGCATGGGTTATATAAGGTGAGTTCTGATATATATGACTATATTTATATGACAATTTTATACATTTGTCTGCTGACTTGTGTATTTTGCGACTGGATTTTTTATTCTTTGTTTTCTATTTTACGTGATATATAAGTAGAGTTGAGTAACTTTTCCGTTATAAAAATTAGCCTTATAAATTTGATGCAATAAACTGAAATTAAGTGAACATTCATGAAAATTACCCTAGATCTTATGTAAAAAGCTGAAACGGGTGAATCAGATCTTGAGTACTTATTCCTAGTGAGATTAGACAAAATTATGCTAACTTTTAATTGGTCAAACTCTGTAGCACTTACTTGTAATGCGATGGGGAAATTCCTTGAAAGAAAACCATAGTTTTTGCAGGATCAATATTTGTATCAATCCACTTAGCCCATGTAATCAGTGCTTTCTCGAAAGCAACCACACGGTCCATGTCTTTATAGTATTGGCCTCCTATTTCAATAAAATCCCATCTGCAAAAAAAAAAAGGCTGTGAAGTTTTTTATTTTGAATTGTGTTGTGCTAAAATGACAATAAGCAAAAATAGTAAGAGAGCTAACGGCTGAGTGGCTCCTCTGCGATTCCACCAATGCCAAGTGTTGAAGATAAGCATGTCAATTCCTTTCCACAACTTGCCACCTTCAATTGAGTCTAGTTTCAAGATTCTGCCTTTTGCTTCCCTCACAACGTCCACCAAATACACACTCCGATCCAACATTACGTCAATTCCAAAATCCTGAAAAACACAATATGTTTATTACTTAACAATTTATGTAATGTTGCAAATTGGCCAAATATATGGATGATCCCCTAAATTTGTCTGAATTTATTATTTAGACACCTTGTTATTTAGGGGTCTAATCCTTGATGTAGTTGAAAAATATAACTATAAAAGGCCTCATTGGCAATCTCTCAACAGAATAAGGTGCGCAAATTTTTAACACGCGCGGTGGCATGGCAAATAAGCCAATGAGGTTACAAAGTTAATATGATTGGTCATTGACACTTGTAGCATGTGTTGAATGTTCATATTTACTCCAACCATTGCTAAATGTTTAATCGAGGAATACATCTTCCATTAGCTAAGATACGTGGACTTCCACTAAAAGAGCCAAATCCTTCGCTTACGAGAAAGTGAATTTACAGCCTGTTTGATAAAGTTTTTATGGGCCAAAACTGTTTTTTCCAGCCAAAAGTTTCTAAAATTTAAGGTTTAATTTTTGGCTAAACTTTTAGAAGGAAAAAAGTATTTTTGGATAGAAGTAGAATCTGTTTTTGAGAAGCTGAAAAAGTAATTTCTTCCAAAAAGTATTTTTTTTTTAAAAGCATTTTTAAAAATATATACTAATTAGAAGCACTTTTTAAATGTTTTATCAAATACTAATTATTAGCCAAAAGTATTTATGAAATCAATTAGTCAAATATTTTTATGGAAAATACTTGTAACACTAAGTGAAGGATAACACAAACTTGCAACCTAAAATTTCTTTGCCTTCCTGCTAGTATTATTTTCCCTTACTTGTCTCATAATGTTGCGTGAACGTATTAAGGAGCAAATGTCTATCTAGGGAAAATAATAAAGAAACATTACCAAGAAAGTGAAAATAGAGACATCGCCAACTCTAGTTGCGTTGTAATTGGTCTTAGGAACTGATGTGTAAAGAAGGCATACGAGTGATTGCCATTGGTTTCTGCTGAGAGAATCTCCCACGAACATTATACTTTTCCCTTTGAATTTCTGCAAGAATGCCCCTCCATCAAATCTGCATAGATAAGTCTTTTGATTAACCCACTAGTAATCGATAATTTGAAAAGACAATAAATTAAATTATCTAAGGGTTTATAATCCTACTCAGCCTAGCAATAATCGATAATTATCCTACATTTTCGGATTGAATATTAGATTACCCTAGCGACTAGAGCATAGAAGCATTTAATTTTGACAAGATTTTGTGTATTTTAGAAAAGAAAAATTATGTGTCTAACCCGAATAAGATAATAAGTATTTCTACCCAGTTGTCCTTTTTTTTTTAAAAAAAAAAAATCAAGAATTTCCATAGGTTGGTTAGAGATTCCAAAGCTCTTTAATCAAAGCTTATAGTGACAGTTCAGCAAACATAATAAAATGATTACTCCATCTTACAACTGGAAATTTGAAAAAGAAGTGAGAGGGGCCCTACAACAGGAAACAAAGTATAGTAACAAACATCCTAGACCCTCACCAGTGTGGCTCGTGGCATTGTTAAAAAAATTTATGTAGCTTTGTTATTAGCACATGGGAGGGGGGATCCATGTCAGCTATGTTACCTGTGTGGCAATCTACGATCATATTGACTAAAAGTCTAAAATATGTCATTAAGTAATTAGATTCGGAGATTCACATTTTGAACAGAAAATATCGAATGTAGGCTCAATTATATCTCACTTAAATGTCTCAATTAATTTTTACTTTTAATTGAAAATTTTGAAAAAAGAGTGATTAATGACATCTTATTTTCTTAAAGTAATCAACACTAAATTGACTAATACTACATTAAACCTTGACAAAGGGAGGCAAAAAGGAGCACTTATTGGGGCGGAAACAGAGAAATGAAAAAGCCAATTACTGGCAACGCAAAGATTGTATTACGGTATTCGAGATTTCCATTCAAAAATCATTAGTAGGATTTAGGCCTGCCACTTTTCTGAGGGGTGGGTCACGGGTCACGTTACAATTTAGAAACATTTATTCACATGATCACCTCCATCAATTCTTTCAATCTACCCTCAAGCCCCCCATCACTTTCAGAAATCATTGTACATTACTCATTTTCACACAGATTGTAATTAATAGCCCGTTTGGCCAAGCTGCAAAAATCAGCTTATTTTGAAAATTGTTTTTTTCAAAAGTGTTTTTCTCAAAAGTACTTTTGGTGAGAAGCAGTTTGTATTTGACTAATTAGTTTGAAAAGCACTTCTGAGCTGCAATTAGTGTTTGGCCAAACTTTAAAAAACTGCTTCTAAGTGTATTTTTCTCAAAAGTGTTTCTCAAAAAAGTAATTTTGGAGAGAAGCTACTTTTTTCTGCTTCTCCAAAACTGCTTCTGCTTCTCCTCAAAAGCACTTTTTTTCCTTCCAAAAGCTTGGCCAAACACCTCAGTTTTTGGCCAAAAGTGCTTTTGGCAAAAAAAAAAAAAAGCACTTTTGGCCAAAAAGAAGCTTGGCCAAACAGGCTATAAGTGGCGTTTGGAAATAAGAATTGTGAAATTCTGGAAAAAGTAAAAGAGAATTCAAGTAAAGATATTCAAAATTAGAGTTGTGTTGGACATAAATACAATTTGAAGCTGTTTTTTGATTATTCTTTTTTTTTTGTGAGTGATTTGAAATGAAATTCTTTTTTAAAAAAAATTGTTTTTTTTTTGCAGTTTTTCAAATACCAAAAAATTCCAAAATTTAACTTCAAGTAAAATTTAAAAATTGTATGGCTAAACATTGATTCTAGAAAAAAAAATTATGACCAAACGGTCCTTATGCATCTTTAGATAAAAACAATTCAAAAACAAGAATCAAATAAAATTATTTGTAAATTTATTTCAATGACTTGCTTGTGAAGGAAGCAGTGGCAGAGCCACGAAATTCCAAACTTCACCACTAGGAAGTAATCTGTGTAGAAAAAGCATAGAGATAGAGAGATAGAGTTACCTCTTTAAGGAGCAGCCATGGGGTTGCCATCTGTACTTAAGGTAATCTTGATCAGGACGGCCATTCCTTTGGCAGTTGAATTCATGTTCAATGAAAGGACATTGTGTTGAATTATAAAGAGGATAAGTTTCATCTTCAACCCAACTTCCTTCAAAAAAGTTGCAGCTCTGTTGTGGATGTGCATTTGAATGGTGAAAAAGAAGCACAAAAAGACTTATTAGAGTACAAATGAAATTCCAGCCACCCTCAAAGCCCATGTTTCTTATGATGGCTGTTTCTTAAAGAGAGAAACAGAAGTAGAATTGCCTATTTGCTACTTCTCTGTGCTTTTGTATGTCTATTTGCATATGTATATATATATGCTCATAAAGCACAGAGAGTAGATTGCTAAGATCTAAGGGAAGATTATTAGATGGAGTCAGAACTTTTCTGAAAACAAAGTAAGATGTATGAATAAGTTAAAAATTGTAAGAAAGAGAACCTTTGTACGTTTCTTCACATAGTTAACCAGTAGATTGCCAATATCTGATGTTTTGTTTTTTCACATATTTAACCAGAGTAGGAAAAATAACAGGACAGAGAAGTAGATTGTTAGTATATGCAAATCTACTTGTATAAATTTTTGGCTCCATTACTAACATTTATTACTTTTATCCTTTGAAGATTTTACCTGTATAGTCCCACTAATAGCCTGTTTGGTCAAATCTCTTTTTGCTCAGAAGTGTTTTTTCCTTTTTTGACAAAAGTATTTATTAAAATTTAAGGTGTTTAATCAAATTTCTAGAAGGAAAAAAGGCTTTTGAGGAAAAAGCAGAAGCATCTTTTGAGAAACTTAAAAAAAAATAGCTTCTTCTCATTTTTTTTTTTTAAAATATACTTTTAAGAAAAACACATTTAAAAGCATTTTTTGAAAGTTTAGTCAAACACCAATTGCTACTCAAAAGTCTTTTTCGAATTAATTAGTTAAACACAATCTGGTTCTCACCAAAAGTACTTTTTTGAAACATGGGCTAAATTACTAAAAGTACTTTAGTTTAGAGTAATATTTTTACAAAATTACTAAAAATATATTTTCATTGCCGATTACAAGACATTACTTGAATAGACATATTATATTTCTCAACCAATAATATAATACTCCCTCTCGTCCACTTTAAGTGGTTTTTTAGTATTTTTTTGTGATCCATAATATTTGATTTTTACAGATATCAAGAAGTAATTAACTTCTTCTTTCCAAAGTTGCCCTTGAAGTAAAGAGACTAGGAGTAGTTTGTTATATTTTCAATGAGCAAATTAAGGATAATATGGTCAATTTTATTGTTGATTAATGCTAAAAGATAAATTTCTTAATATGTGTGAAAAGAGCCAAAAAATTACTTAAAGTGGACCGGAGAGAGTATAATTATTGCAAAAGTTAATTTACATACATATCATCATATTATGAGCCCGTTTGAATTGGCTTATTTTAAGTGCTTTTAAGCCAAAATAGCGTTTAAGGCATTTTGTAGTGTTTGGATAAAGTAAAAAGTGCTTTTAAGCACTTATTTTTAAGCTAAAATGACAAAATTAAGCCAAAAGCCAAAAGATAGAATTCCTAACTTATGGCTTTCGGCTTAAAAGTCATTTACAACAATCCCATCCAAACAGGTTTAGAGTAACAGAGGCGAAGTCAGGATTTAGAGCTTATGGATTCGGGGTTTTAGTCATTTTAAGTTACTGGGTTCTATATTAATAATTTTTGCATATTCGATGAATTTCTTAAGACAAATACATGGTCTAGACCAAAAACATTGGGTTCAGCCGACCCCGTAGTGAATGGCCTAGCTTCGCCCTTGTATAGTAAAGTAAAACAAAGTGCATTAAAGAAAGATGGCTTCCTCTTTGAAAGTAATAATTTTTAGTGGTTCTTTTCTTTATCTAACAACTTGTATTCTATCAAACACTCTCTAAAAGAGAACAAGAAACGGAAGAATATATGTATTCTAACAATATTGTGATGACCCAATAGGTCATCTTATGATTTAGAACCAAACTCTGTGTTTCGAAGCCTTTAGAACCTCATTCTAGTCTTCCACGATTTGCGTACGCAGTCCGGGTATTGACCCAGAAGGCTTATATGCTAAAAACTGATAACAGCAAGAATTTTTGCCTTAAAAGTTAATTTTAGTTGATTTCGGTCAACGTTTTGAGTAAACGGATCCGGACCCGTATTTTGACGGTCCCGATGGAACCAGGGTGTATACCCAAAATCGAATTCGAAGGTCCCTAGCTTGAGCTATGAATTTTATTGAAAATTAAGAGTCTGAAAATCTAATGGTTTTTAAGAATTGATTGATGTTTGGCCTTGTTGATACCGGGTCCGTATTTCGATTTCGGAGCCCGGTACAGGTCCAATATAATATTTATGACTTGTCTGTGATATTTGAGAGAAAAGGAAATGGTTTGACGTGATTCGGACGTTCGGTTGAGAAATTAGAAGTTTCAAAGCTTTCTTGAAAATTTCATTTTATTTGGTGTTAAATTTGTAGTTCTAGGTGTTATTTTGGCGATTTGATCACGCAAGCAAGTTTGTGTGAGGTTTCAAGACTTGTGTGCATGTTTGGTTTGGAGCCCCGAGGGCTTGGGTGAGTTTAGGATAGGCTACAGGGTGTTTTGAACTTAGAAAATCTGGGTTTTTTCTTCAGCTTCAGTGTTTTCTGGTTTCCTTCGTCGCGACCTGTTGATAGGCTATAAGTAGGCCGTTTGCTATTGCTATAAGGGCTGCTCGCCTGTACAACTATTATTTGAATGAAGTGAAAAGTTCTCACGCAAACGCGAAGGGTGAGATGGGGCTGGGCGGAATTTCTTCTTCGCGAACGCGGAGCGATGGGGGCCATACGCGAACGCGACTAGCTCAACGCGAACGCGAAGCATTTAGGACCCGGGGGAGGGGTCAGTCATTCTTTCTACGCGAAAGCGAACACGAAGGCCAGGGGGCATAGCCTTCGCGAACGCGGAGAGGGATTCGCGATCGCTTAAGCCTAGTAGGCTCAGCTCTTCTCGAATGCGACATTGTCCTCGCGAACCGATGAACACTGTCGCCCAGCTATTAAACAGTCCCATTACGGGACTTAACCCTTTTTTTCAAATTTTCAAAAGCTAGAAAGCCTAGAGGCGATTCTCCCAAGCTATTTTCTTCCCCAAAGTGTCGGTAAGTGATTCTAACAACTTTCTTTCAATTACCCATTGCATTTCATGAATTTTCAACCTAAAATCTAAAGTGTTCATGGTAGAATTGGGGGTTTTGGGTAGCAACTAGGGATTTGGAAAATTGGGGATGTAGACCTCGAATTGAGGTCGGATTCCAAAACCAATTATATATCCGGGCTCGGGGGGTGAATGGGTAAATGGATTTTGTCCGAACCTCGGATTTTGACCAAGCGGGCTCGGGGTCGGTTTTTGACTTTTTTGGGGAAATTTTGGGAAATCTAAATTTATGCATTGTAGTTGATTCCTTTAGCAATATTTGATGTTATTGAGTTAATTGTGGCTAGATACAAGTGGTTTGGAGGCGAATTCTAGAGGAAAGGCCCGATAGAGATTTGAATTGACTGCGGAGCAAGGTAAGTGTCGTGGTTAACCTTGGCTTGAGGGATTAGGTATTATTTGCCTATTTACTACGTGTTTGAATGTTGGATACAACGTATAGGTGAGGTGACGAGTACCTATGCGATGTTGTCGAGTCATAGCATGCGATTGGGTCTCATTCTTGTAATTGTTACTTTCCTCGGTTATATTATCCATGTTTAGACTATTTAAATCATTATGTTGATAACTATTATCATGTTTATGTATGTTGGTATTGATTGAGTATTGATTCAAAGTCGAGGTTGGTATTGTGAAACCAAATGTTGAAGTAAGACTTCTTCTAGATTATTTCTATCTCCCTATTGTTGTTGTTCATTGCTTTGGTGAGAGAGAGTGTTAATGCACGAAGGGTGATGCCGTGCCATATTTTGTGAGTGTTAATGCACGAAGGGTGATGCCGTGCCATTTTGTGAGTGTTAATGCACGAAGGGTGATGTCGTGCCATGTTATGAGAGAGTTAATGCACGAAGGGTGATGCCGTATTGTTTCTATTTGATTCATATGGTGAGGTTGAGAGTAAAAGCACGAAGGGTGATGCTGTGTACCTTCTTTTACTGTGGTTACTTGTTCCTATTTGTTCAAAGTATATCGGTTAATCAAAGTGCTTATTTACTGCAGTGATCCTTTATCTTGTGATTCCCCCAGCATGTCCCCCTCCCAATATTACTTGTCTTGTTTCTCTTATTGTTGTTATTGGTATATATATTGTTATACTGCACATGTTGATTTGTCGGTGTCTTGTCCTAGCCTCGTCACTACTTCGCCGAAGTTAGAATCGACACTTACCAGTACATGGGGGTTAGTTGTACTGATACTGCACTCTGAACTTTCTGTGCAGACTTCGATACTGGTCTGAGCTGATTCTGAGGATAGATGCTGACTTTACTTGATTGTAGACCCAAGGTAGACTTGTTGGCGTCCGCAGGCCCTGGCGTCTCCTTCTATACATTCTCTTTCATATTTCTTTTGTTTCGAAGACAGTTGTATTTCTTTCAGACATTTACTTGTAGTTAAATCTTTGAAGTTCGTGAATTGTGACTCCAGATCCGAGTAGTTCTGTATAAATATTAAGATTGTTATGAATTTCGGCACTCTTTTGACTTGTTATGGTTTAATTGTTGTTAATCAGTGAAAGGTTTAAGAATTGGCTTAATGATCTCTAACGTTGGCTTGCCTAGCAAGTGAAATATTAGGCGTCATCACGGTCCCGACGGTGGGAATTTCGGATCATGAAAAGTTGGTATTAGAGCACTAGGTTGCCTAGGTCTCACAATTCACGAGCAGGCTTGGTAGAATCTGGGGGATCGGTACGAAGACGTTTGTACTTATCTCCCAGAGGCTACAGAGTTTAGGAACAATGTCCCTTCTTTTCTTCTCTGTCTTGCGATTTTGTTCTCTCATTGCTAATTGAACTCTTCTACTCTTTTTCTCTCGTAGATGGCGAGAACACATACCGCATCTTCAGCTGAGCAACAACCATAGTCCCTAGTGGCAGCTCCTATGAGGGGCAGAGGACGAGGATGAGGCCATGCCAGAGATAGAGGCATGGGCAGGGCTCAGCCCGGAGCTCGAGCAGCAACACCAGCGGCGGAGCCTCAAGTGGAGTTGCATGTGGAGGCTCCAGCCCAGACCGTTCCAGTAGGACCAACTCAGGTCCCAGAGGGGTTCATTGCCACCCCAGTGATACAGGATGCTTTGGTCCGTTTGGTGGGCCTGATGAAGAGTATAGCCCAGACTAGCACTTTACACATGGCAATAACCGTCTCTCAGGCTGGGGGAGGAGCACAGACTCCTGCTACTCATACCCCGGAGCAGGTGGTTCCCCAGTATCAGACTCCAGCAGCTCAGCCAGTTGGAGTATTTCAGCCAGTTGTTGCGGCACAGGCCAGTGATGGTAATGCTATGACTCCCGAGGGTT